AGATGGAGGTATGTATCAGTAGGTGAGAAGCATTGCAGTCTAGTCAACGGCGGGTGAGTCCGCACCGCATATCCACCACACGTTTTCAAGTGCCATCCGGCATTGGACGATCTGGAACTCAGAGTTCAGCATGAAACGAGCGCTGTGCTAGGCAAAAGGTCCAACATCATTTGGGGGCTGTTTTGATCTGCTTGTCACACCTTTCCGGTCATTGGCATGCTGCATGACGACGGATGTGATGCTGGCCAGCTGCGATGCAAAACTTTGATAACATGCCGTTGGTGATTCGTGATGCTGCAGCAGTGTTGACTCGACACAACCAACATACTCAGCATACCGTGATTCAGGGCAAGGTTTGCAGTCTTGACACTGCATCCAACATTGCATTCGACATGTGATGCTGCCAGCTCAACAGTTATCCATTGACGCGTGTACCTCTCTTCCAGTCACGTCGGCAACCCGGACGGGCTTCAGTGACTATGCCGCATCGTCAAGTCTTGGTTTCAAAAATAGCCGTAGGGCCGATATCAATGCTACCCACTGAAAACTCGTGAGTACTTGAGAATATCGAGGCACGAATAGGAAGGCGGCCGCAGGGAAAATGGCCAGGGAGGTAGCCAAATCACCTCGCCGTGAAAAAGCTTGACCGAGCTGTTCTTCGTTGCGGTGACAAATGTCACCTACCGTGATGGCTCGTCTAAACCGGATGCAACACACCGTCATAGACGACCCCCACGCCGCTACGCCACGGGTCCGCGGCAACTTACCACACTCCCGGGCCCACCTGATATCAGGAACACTTATGCTTTTTCCTCATTCTTCTCATACTTTCGTAACCTGGTAGCTAGGACTCGGCAAGGGAGGAAAAGTTCGATGCACCCCTTGAAGCATGATATTGGCAGCCGCCCTCATTTCATTGCCAAGTTGGAAAAAAGTTGGCGTGCAGGGTATCGGCTACGCCGTTTCAGTGGTATCACTGGCCTTGGAAATGAAGCCATCGTGAAGTCCGCAACCAGTCATCCATCCACATGGTTCTCATAAGACAGGGAGAAGAAAGAAAACCGACTTGTCACATTCGAGACCTGCGGCAAATAAACCCCTTACTGTTAGAGCTCAGAACCCCCTCCCGCAGCAAAATCGGGTTGTAAGACTGCGTAATCTCCCATCGCAGCCCAACGATGCATGGCCCCCTGGGCCCTGTACCTTTCCCATGAGGCTTATTCACGATGGGCTGTTGACGGTCCGTGTGCTGCTGAGAAAATTTAGGCGGATCCAGTCCGCAAGCAGGCTGCACGAGTGGATCGGATCGGGGAATTTCCTTCACTTCAGGGGGGTCCATCGAACAACATCCCGTGTTGATCGCGGACGACGGGGAGACTGTTGTCGGCAGGAGAATAATGCCATGGCAACGGAGAGTCAGTGGTTGTTTTGTTGATCTCTCCAAGGTTCGACTATTGTGCTGAATGACTATTGTCTTTGGTTTCCAAGTGGGTTGGATTATGGTTGGATGCGACATCAAAAGCCCGCTACATTCACAACAGTGTAATAGGAGTTGTACTATAACTCATATGGAGCTCTGTACAATACTATAGAGTAAAGATTGCAAAAGTCACTTTCCGCCAAGAACGGAGAAGGTCGTTACTAAATATGAGGAATAATGCGCTTTTCCAATAACATCGACTTGAATGAAACAGACATTGATCGATACTAAGTCACACGCTAGGTATTGTCTTAATAGCTGGTATGAAAGATCAAGGAGACTACTTCTGGGACCTACAGGGTATTATAGCTCTTGAGTGATGTTTACAGAGCCCTCGCTTTGAAATCATCAGTAAATGCCCGTGACTACTCAGGAAACACATCTCGTTACACTATCTTCCATCTTCAAGTTGAGATACTCGACTGCATGGCCAGTTGAACAGCATGAAATACGACTTAAACCTTTCGGCCAAACATTAGGCCGTGTAGAGTCATTAAGACAACACGTTTTTCTAGGTAAAGTTCGTGAATCAATACCTTTGCGATTCTAAGTACTTACTGATACCTGTCGACTTTCTCAATCATGTGGAATTTAGTCTACTAGGTAGGTAGTCCAGTTTCAAGATGTGATAACCACTGTGCGTAGTACTGCAATATCAATAAACATACCTATTTCAATCAATCTCAGTGGAATTGACTTGATTGAATTGCTCAACGTGTGTCGTTGCGAAGCATGTTGTAGCCACACCTATTATAGACTCCGTACTAACGATGAGAATTAAAGATTCAAATGATCAAGCATGGATGACATAAGTAAGAATGATAAGATCGGCTTTCAATACATGCTTGACTATCCTAGGACAACAAGGTTATAGCAGTGATATCTTTCTGTTTGACTATTGAGTATGAGCTGTTCTTCAGCTACAAGCAAATTGAATTACATCAATTATTCGTACCGCCACTTCTAGGGTTTAAGTATCGTCACAAAGACTTTTCTTCAGATGCCCGACTCCAATGGGTACTCAACCGGCCGGCTGCCTTTCCCTTGCTTGTCTCGCGCCATCCCCTTTTTCTTTGACACATCAGATCACTCAACCAGCCGATCGAGTGGCAGCAGGCAGAACTGAAACGGTGAGAACAAAGCCGGCAGTAATCTGAGAAGCCGAGGCCGTGCTTGACGTCTGAGTGGTTGACGATGTTATAGGCGATGTGGAAAGAGTCCCAGAAGAAGAAGCTTGTGACGATGAGGATGTGCTCGATTGGATGCTCGTCTGGCTAGTGCTTGATGTGGTTGCGGATGTTGGGGTGCTTGAAATTGTGCTTGATATCGGAGAGCCAGAAATCGTAGAGGAAGAAGTCACAGACAACAATGAACTCATGATTGTAGTCGAGCTTGAGATGACGGAGGATCCCGAGCTCCCACTAGTGTTGGTCGTGCTGGCTGTGGCAGAAGACGTAGAAGTAGACGTTCCTGTGCTTCCGAATGTCAAGGAAGAGCCTGTGGAGGATGAAGAGGAAGAGCCCGTAGTTCCGCTGCTACTTGTGACGCTCACACTCGCACTTGGGTTTAAGCTCGAGGTGTTAGAAAGCCCCGTGCTAGTACTGGAGCTATCGGTGTTGGAAGTGCTGGTGGATGAAGTTTTTCCCAAGTTCGAAGAAGAGGAAGTTGATGATTGCGTTGAAGTTGTGGACGTATTGTGAAGCTCGTCAAAGATGTTGAGGTGAAGTTTAATGAAGCCGAAGAAGTAGTGCCGGAATCTGTAGTGGTGATTGTTGATCCGCTGCTTGAGGAGCTCGAGGTACTGGATGATGACGAGGTCGAAGTTGTTGAGGTATCAGTACCGCTCGTTCCTGAAGTACTTGAGCTACTTGTGTCGGTGGATGTTGAAGAGGTTGACAGGGTCGATGAGCTGGACGAGCTGGACGAGCTGGACGAAGGTATCGTGTATTCATAAAAACTGAAAAACTGAGCGGAGCTGATAGTGCCACCGCAGTAAGAGGTAGAATCCCCAGCGCATACAATGTTGCAATAACTCGGATTCCCTGTTACAGGACCGATAGCAGTTACACCTGGATTGCCGCAGTAACACTGACTCTGAAATGTCGCGCCGAATGAACGACCGATGGAGACGCACGTTGTTTGGCAAAACAATGGGCTATTGAAGCTATTGCTAGAGGATAAGCTGAAGGCCAGCTGGAATTGGGCAACTGTGCCGCATCCGAGGTATGTTGTGTCAGGGGGAAGCTGGCTTGCTACGCTCACGACCAAGCCAGCCAATGCCGCAAACAAGGATCTCATCGTGAAGCCGAGTTGGATATGTCCGTGAAACTTCGCAATCGAGTACTGTCCTAGGTATGCCGAGCTCATTTGAGAGGAAATTTCATGTGGCTATGGCCTCGATTTCCTATGGCAGGTGGGGAGCCTCTTGCCAGCCAGCAGAAAGGGAGACGGAGTATAAGAACAAAACAGCGTAACTAGCGATGAAGGGAGAGGGCCCTTCGGCCCGAAGTTCAGGATCGAAAAACACGGGCCGGGGCAACATCAAATACCCGACTTCTTTGTTCCATCTAGGTACCCGAGGGATGCTCAAAGTATGTGGTGACTCTAGTTTAAATGCCAAAATTCCTGCTACTCAGTCTGAACAGGACCGAGGAGATCGTCACGCTCTTTCACGACAATTGAGCAGCTGAATGAATTCTCATTCTTCGACGCCCAACAATCGTTAATGTCTTGGATCAATATCACACTGTACAATCGCAATGGCCAGCCAATTAGCCACCATATTTTTGTGTCTCGGAGATAATCCGGATTCGATCGCAGCTGAGTAAACGGCAAACGGTACCCGACTTCGTATGTAGCATGATTGATTCTTAGCAGAGTACCTTTTCATTTCAATTAGCAGATGCAGGTGGTCGGCCGACCGCTTCCGAGGTTGGCGTCATGTTGGGTTTCACAGGACGGAATTGGCCGAATCGCTGAAGTACAGACAACAGTGTAATCATGTGCAAAAGATTTCGATATCACGTCCGCGTTTAGACCGTAAAGCCTCGATCTATTGTTCGGGTGTGCTGCAGGGCTGCCGGACGAACCCCACAGCGGCACCGGACCGGGCATGACCGGACCGGACCGCCTGAGTGGGTCCTTCCGGAGCGGCACCGTTGACAAGGTGGCTGGACGACATCTTGCAGCTCCTGCCTTGTGGCAATTTCCTAGGACTCAATACAGGCAACGAAAATTTGAATTTGCACGGAAGGCACTGAATCGAACATGTATGCGAGGAAACTGCCGCCCTCAGGACATTGTGACACGTTGAGTACCTAAGGTACCTAGGTACCTTCCTTCCAGGTAGGAATGCTTCCCAAGATACCACCGGCTCAACCCTTTTCCATCCTCATTCGAGCCGTCTCAGAAGCTGGTCAAAGCACAACAAATATCATCATGGAGCCTTCAGCCAGTCATTCAACATGAACAACGAACCCATCAACCAGATAAACAAGGATAGAGAGAAACGAGAAGAAACATGCCGTCCCCAATCCCCCGCCTCCTCCCACCAATCTTCTCAATCTTCGACTCAGGCCTCGCCGAAACAGCAAACCTCCCCCTCTTCTACCTCTCCCACGACGCCGAACCCTCCGAGACAGACAACGCAATCGGCATCAACATCCACGCGGGCCCCTTCTCCACCGCGCCCATCATCGCGCACCTCACCCACCGTCTCGTCAGCCTGCCGGGCTAGAAGACCCGTCGCACCATGCAAGTCCACCTCGAACAACCGCAGTCTTCTCTCTCTTCGCGCCCTCGCCGCCGGGAAAGCAACTCCAGCGACACGCCCAAGATCCTCCTCCACGAAGACCGCGGCCGGCAAGGGAATGCTCTGGGTTTCCGCTCGCTGTTGAGTCGCATTATCCGTGGGAAAGGGTATCAGGGCCTATGGCGCTTCACGATGCGTCTCCGCGACCCTTGTTGGGCGGAAATGACGACCGATGTCGATTTCGAGTGGCGACATAGTCGGGGGTTATCCATTCGGACACTACGTCTTTCGGATGGGTGGCTTCTCTAGAGGAAACGGACGCCCGACGAAACACGCATCCTAAGAGCTCCCCGTCAGTCGTATCTTGGACGGGGAGGCTACGCCAAGTTGGACGAGGAGCTGGTTGCCATGATTTCGATCGACCCCTCGCGACCGTATCTTGGTACAGGATTCCGATTCCTCAATTCCGCCGTCGTTCCCCCTGGTGAAAAAGAAAGACCCTTCTTGAACGACGACTTCGCGTTGGTGGCAATCATGTCCGGCATTGGCATCATCATGGGCGAAAATGAGACCTTGGGTGGCGTCTTGACATCGGAGGAAATACAGGCTTCACAAAGACCTCACCTCAACCGCGCCGCGTTAGTAGAGAAGCACACCCGCGAGACAAAGGAGTGGCTCGCTACACTAGATCTCCTCGATGACAATGACCACGACGACGAGCCGCCCCATATACGAAGGGCTGAAAGGGTGGCTCCGTGGAGGGACCTCCACGGGTCAAGAGGAACCACCACACGGGGAAAGGAGGGAGGCGGCGGCAAGACGAAAGGGCCCAAAAAAACAACGCATGGAGAACGCCGACAGCGCAGTCTATCAGCGCCCGAGACTTCCTCTCAACGGAGAGCCGCTCAGAAAACTCTGCACGCTGAGTCAAATCGTCGACAAGAGTGGGAGAAGAGGCCGACTGTGTATGTGCCGAGGAAAAGGGAGAGGACTGCCAACGCGTCTGCAGCGACGAGACGGACTACGCCACTGCGGTCTTCACAGAGGAGCTCGTATGGGGACAGAGATCCGACGAGTCGGGGGGTTATCTTGGCACAAGGAGGAACGGTGATTGAGTGAGTTGGGACCATCGAGTAACAGGGCCTAGTTTGTTCTAAGAAATGGTGAATGAGGGAAGAGCTTTTTCGGAAGGAGGTCGTTTCCAAGCAAGACAAACTTGATGGCACTAGGTATGGGTGGCCTCTAACTTGGTCGATATGATCATAGCAGAACACAGAGGAGTGTAAGCGCGATGTGCGTCAAAACAACATCACCAACAGTAGTTCTTAGAGGCATGATTAAAAGGCAAAATGTTACCGCGCGAAATGGGACCTGAATAATCTTCAAGTTTACTCCAAAGTCAATGATGATGAGTGTGTAAAAGTCCCATTTCATGACCTTGTCCTGTTTATGCATTCTGCGGTGTCAGAATTACTATGAAGCATTGAATCATCATTTGGGAGAGAAGACATCGAGGCTACTAGATCCAAGTGAGCGCCCCGGGTATGCCCGGATTCCCAGACAGCAGGCTCGGGACGGCTCAACTAAGACAGCACCTCACTCGATGGTGGATTGCACAAGCCAGCTTCAGATGTACGACTACCCAACTTTCGAAACTAGTTCGCAGGACTAATCTATTATAGAACGAACGAATCCCCTTCATTCACAGCGATCAATCATGTCTGTGGTTATTATCTACGACGGCGCCTGAGGGCGTGAACTGTGAAGACAAAAAGCCATTCTGTCAAGGGAGCCACGGCTAGTTCGCTCGGGAGTAATAACACAAAATCATACCACATGAATTTGTTGAATGCGTTATTTTCCACTCTGGACCTCTAGGCGAGTACAAGGACGCGGCGAAGTCATTTAGGTGAAGTACATCCTCAAGACTCAATGACCCCATTCCCAAACGAAAAGTAACCGGAGGATTTCATGCCAGCTAAGAAACTCAAATCATGGCCCCTTTTCGTTGACCTCGCTTATTGTCACAAATGTTCGCGCGAAGATTGAGAAATGCGGACCATCAATATCCAGGCCCATGGCCGTGGTGGCTCCTCCGGAAGGCTCCGATTAGCTTCGCACTCGACCTTTCACAAGGTGTAAGGCGAAAGAACCGAGCAAGATGCTGAACAACCAATTGCGTCTGTCTGAGGAATGTGAAGTGGTCGAGCAAAGTTGGAAAATATGAAAACCCAACGCAGAGAGACGACAGAGCCCAGCATCACGTCGAGCGTGCTGCATAAGATACTTACACAGCCTCAAGCCTATTCCATCAACATCGTAAGATGCCAAGGCATTATCCATCGGGGCCAAGCTTCAGTGTGGAAAAAACAAAACAAAAAAACGCGGGCTCATTCCTCTCTTTCCGCGCTTGCCAGTGCAGGTCCTGGCTTTGATTGACTTCAGCTGAGCTAGTCGTGATGTTAAACCCCGCATCGACGGGTGAAAGACGTGCAGCAGCAGGCAGGACAATCTCCGTATATCCCCGGATCTGCAAGAAGGTCTCCAAGATCCCCAGAATCTTAGACTGAGCGGAGAAATCCATCAACCGTCATAATTTGGAATGACGAGAGAACCCCACCATGGAGCCGATGGTCGTCAATGTTGGTGCTTGGCCTCTGCAAAGCCGCCACCATAGGAATGACAGCCTCGCCCTAGCTGGGGGCCACGAAGAAGTTCCGGAACGAATGGCTGACCCAGGAACAAGACCGATGGACAGGCGGGCGTTCGGTAGGCTAGCGGCTCGAAGAGAAGAGAGCATGTATGGTTGTATTCATCGTCGGAGACGATTCAGTAAAGCTAAGCAAACAAGCTCCATGGTCGTGCCAATGGTGCGTAAGCCAAGTCGGTTGACCTCTTGGTCATCCCTCCATTAGCGGAGTCACGATTCATGGCACAGCGCCTAGTGGTGTGCGAGGAATTCTCGTGGCTGTCTTGTCATGTCTGCTGCCAAGCAAGAGGTAGCCGCCACGTTGTCGATGTTGAGCAAAAGCCTAGCCAAGGAAAGGGGGAAAACGGGTTCGGGGGCCTTGGCGTTTCTTGTATCTGGAACTTGGGTTGCTTGTAAGTTAGTCCGACCAGGGACCGTCACTTCGGACACGTCGGACCCCAACAGACATTGCCCTGAAGCGAAACAGATGTGCATACTGATATCGTTTTGTTTCTTGCTGCTGTCATCTAATCTTAGCACTCGAATGTGTTGCGTAGCACATGCGACGGACCCTGAATTTGTCAGAAACAACCAGAGTGGGAACATGTTGTCGCAAGCTATTCCCAGCGTCGCAAGCAGCACAGACAGGGTGTCACAGGCCAAGCGTTCTCAAACATGCTGATAAGAACCAACCCACCGGGCGGTATCTAGCGATGAATGGCGGAACACCAGTACCATAGGTGAAAAGGTTGGGAAGCTCCTCCGTAGTTGCGACACAATTCCAAAAATACGAGCATGTGCGGTCTTTCCAGGTTCTGGGCTTCTAGAAGTATTCTTAGTCTCGTCGGGAAGGCTCTAGCTGTGAGACATTGGCCGGGGCAGCGGGAGGCTCGTCTGCGGCCGTTCGGTTGGTGTCAATCAAGGTGCCGTGGCCTCAACTCTCGACAACGCCCGATTGGCCCGAAGCTACCGTGGTGTCTGCACAACTTGCAAGTTTGAGGGATTGGGGACTTTCAACTTCTACAGATAGGCGCGTGAGCAGCGTTGCAGTAGGGCCTTGCGGCTCACCGCCGTTTGAGAGCGGCGAATTTGAATGATTCGGACAAAGTTTACGGCGGGATCTTGAGTTTCTCGGTGCGCATCTCCCATGGTATGATAGCGGCCGGCGGGCACGGTAGTATTCCAAAGACTTAGGGTAGCACGCCGCGGCAGCTCGCCGGAGCAGAGGCCAGAAGGCTGGGAAAGGATCTCGAAACACTCGGGAGATGCGCTTGCAGATGTTTTGCCTCGTTGCGGTAAGGATTAGGATGCGCGCCGGAGCATAGTCGAGTGGTGGGTGGTGACGAAGGTGGGGTGATGCGAGGATGCACTGGTGCAGGCAGGCGCATGGCCAGCCAGGTGTTGTTGAGCTTGCGAAAAGGGCCCGGTTTGACGAGGATGATGGACCCGTCCTTCTCCGCAAGGAATACTCGGGGTTTGGGGTTGAACGGGGGAAATATCTTTGGAGAGGTGGGGAAGATGGGGAGACGGGGAAACGAGATTTGGTCGAGGGACACTTGTGTGATTACGGACGGTCGATGTGTGGTTGAAGGACTCTCCCACGTTACGGCGAGGGGCGGGCGTCTTTCCAGGTTGAGTTTAGACGAGGGGCGGGCAAGTCGAGGCGAGAGGAGGGACGGCGGCCGGTGAGGTGAGGTGAGGTGAGTGGTCCGCGGTGGTCGGAGAGGTCGAATGCCGGAACAAGTCGCATCAGGCTACCAGCCTCTTGGGGCTTCTCTGGAGCTGTCCAGGTATGATTGCTCTGTGCGGTACATTAGCTTGGATGTAGCGACTGGGATGTGGGAGGAGTTTTGGCTGACTGGCGCTCTGTTGGCGGCAAGCAAGTCAGAGGCAATGGCGTGGTTTCTGAGGGTACAAAGTCTTGGCAAACGTTGCGATGTCGTGTACTCGTGATAAGCTGTGGCCCGTGGATGGTTCAGTTGGTGGTGATGCCCAGCAGAGAGGAACCCTAGGTGCGGCTATGGAGTATCCGTACCTTGGCCTTGGGCCATTTGACCCAGCATGATTCGGCATGAGGTGTATTGAAGAACAGGCTCGGGCGGATGACTCCAGACTCCAGTCTTTGCTAGATAGACGTGCTAGACATGCTAGACTGGAGATTTGACGTCTGGAGGCCGGGGAAACAGAAATTGGGGAAATCTGCCCGTGGGGAACGGTGATGCAGAGAATGTGAGGGGGTGAATACGGAGGATGCCATTGGGCAGAGGTGGTGAAGTTGTGAGAAAAAGATTCGGAAGATGGCCGAATATTCGCAGGCCAGAGGAGGGGAAAGGTGGAGACGTTGGCGCTATCGGTGTTGCGCCCGACGGAGGGAGCCCCCGGTTATCCCCGGTCGTTCTTTCCTAAGAACCGTCTGTTTGGTCATTTCCTCATGAGAATACGGGCGCGATGGGGGAAGGTGCGGTGCAAAGTATTGAGAAACGGTAGAGGGAAGGAAGGAAGGAAGGAAGGAGCAAGTGTCAGCTAGTGGCAGAGGCAGTGGCAGTGGGGGTGGGACTGCCTTCCGACGGACTAAGGTAAGGTATCCAACTAAGGTAGACGCGCACCACCTAGATGACAAGTATCGTGGCCCTGCCAGGCATGCGCAGGTAATACGGAGCCAGCAGACAGACCATTTGACAGTTTCGACGGACCATCCTGGGGCCCCGACTCGAGAATCTCTGGGGAATTGAAAGGGTCGCGGGGATGAAGAAGTATGGATACGCAGTACCTAGTCCGGGCTGGTGGACACTCTCATACGCACCCAACTTATTCGTAGCGTGCCATTTGCTAGGTTTGTATTGACGCTTGGGTAACTGGGTTGCAAAGTTGCAACACTTACATGACCATTGGCGGATAGCAGTGCGCGAATTTCCTCGACTTCCATTCAATGTCACTTGTATTTTCCCCTCCACCATGGCTCCATGATACAATTCTCATTGGCCAAGAGGCAACCATGAACACAGATGAGAGACATCTTCTTCCTTTCAGTATTAGTCGGCAATAATACGGATGGTGCTAAATTGTTAGCATCAGGCCACAACGCCCGTTAAGCTTATTTCCCCGTTCCCCCATCATCTTGTACGGTGGGACGGACACTGGCTGGCTGCTAGTGCATTGGGCGGGCATTGCCCATCACCCATCAGTGCGGGATCGGCTATCTGCTAATCCAATGGGGGGATCATCTGGGGGCAATCTGTTCGCGAGCTGTCAAACGTGTCAGACGTGTTCGTTTGATCTCGCGAACCGCTCTGCTGGAATCGACGAAACGACCTCACTTTGCGACAATTTTTGACCTCACCTCGTTGATAGTGTCAATTGTCGTCGACGTCGTCGAGTGCGGCGACAATTTACTCAACTCCCTCGCAGCGCCGAGCAACTTGGCGTGACGGGATGGCTTGCCGAGGAGGACACAAGCACTTTCTTGGCAGACTCATCGCCCGTTGGGTCTTGGCGACTTGGCCTACGTCTGGTCAGCGTGGCTCATCCTTGCCTGTCTGTCTGGGTGCGTTCTTTTCCCACGCTTGCGATTTGTGGTGTTGGTGTTGGCATTGGCGCTGGCGATTTTGGTGTTGCTTGTTCTCCCCCTCCCTCTCGCAAGTTGTAACCAGGTGGCGGCAGTAGTGCGAGGCATGGAAGAAGCATAATTTATGAGAAATACATTCTGACGCGAAGAAGGTGCAATTGAGAGACTCCAAGTGTGTGTGACTTCCCTCCAGGTCGAGTGCTTACTATGTACGTATCTACCTTGGTGGACGGGATACCTATCTTCTGGCGCTCCTTCTGGAAGGCAGCAACCAATCGACGAAGGAAAGAAGAGGAGTCACGGGACGCCAGTAAAGGCGCGCCTTCCTTTTCTTGCTCTCCCTTAGGTTCAGGTCCCTGCTGGACCGGGGAGGCCCTTTAAATCATCGTGAGAAGAACGAAAATGAAGGCAGGCGTGATTGTGACTTGGTGGGTCAACCTACCTACTGAAGTACCTTCCTGCTGTTCGTCTTCCATCTTCCTCGTTCTTTCCCAAATCGAACATCTCCCGTCGTCCAACATCAGACATTGGAAGAGTACGTACTCCGTGCCTCTGGTCTCCCATCTTCCATCTCGAATGCCTGACTTTGACTTTGACTCTGACTCTGACTCTGCTGCTCATCTTCCATTCCCTCCTGTCCCCTCTTCTCCCACCCACACACACACACACACACCTTTTCCCTCCCGCTCCATTGAAGGATTCGGCCGTGATGCAACATTGCTCAATCGCCCCCATCCAACTCTCCACAGACCAAACCCCAACACAGACAGCCAAGACCTCCTGGACGTGTGAGGCGCAAACTTTTTCTGCACTCGCTCCAACCTAACCCTTTTTCGCGGCCCTGACTAAGGTAACTTTTTTTTTCTCTCGTTTCTTCCTGGCTTCGTTTGGCGTTGGTTCTCACTTCTCACAGTGCACACTATCGCCGCAATCGAACCCCCGTTGCTATTCCTAGCGTTCCAGTCTGCTTATTCTTGGCCCTCAACTCCATCCGTTTCTTACACTGCTCCGACAGCGCAACATCACGGTCATCGCTACCACTGCAACGGAGCCATTCAACTTTGCATCGCGACAAAGGCCAGCCATGACTGAGCAATCGAGAGTCGTTTCTCAACGGGTCTATTCCGTGCCATTCGTTTCACCGTTTCCTATTCTGGTCTGCCACAGCGCAACCTGCACCATGCCCGAAACCACAGAGTACAGACACCAAGACAAGAGAGATGGAGCCGTGTGACACGTTCTGTGCAACCAAACGAAGTCCGTCGTCACTTTCTCCCACGCATACCAACCCGAAATGAAGTTCATCCATGGGAGGCAAGAGGGTGTTCGGCCGGCGACTCCCAGTGGATTCGACATGATGCGCGTTAACTTGGATCCCGCCTCATATCGCATCTCACTTTGCCGCACTTGGACATGCCGGGAGACGGACGCTTGACCCATGGACCATGGTTCATCATTACAAACGCCAACCAACCTCTTCCCCATCCAGATCCCTCGCCAGTTGCTAGCTAGCTGAGAAGCCGGCTGCATGGGGTGATCCATCATGTGCCGGAGTGAAGGCCGTCTCCCGCACGCGTGGAATTCCGTAGTGGGCATAGACCATACGCAGGCTACGCTTCTCTCCCTTGCCAACGAACGCCATCGTATGCAATATCCCAACATGGTCCGCGCCCTCGTAATCCTCGTGGTCCCTAGCTTTCCCTAGCTCTCTCTCGGGACCGTAGTTCGCCAACCACCATGGGCATGGGCATGGAACAAACACCCCGGTCTCCTCGACCCCTTGTCTGCCGCCTTTTGTCGTGCTAATACTTGCAAGTTGCATGGTACCCGTATCGAGGTATGCCGCACGCTCTTCTACTCTCTCCGCTAGAAAGCTCTAGCTGCCATCTAGCAAATCTAGCTCCCATGCAGCATACCTCCCTCTGGTCTCCTCACCATGCTCATCCTGTCCTCCTCCCCGACGCCGACCCCGCACCATTGACTCCGACCTCCCCACGCATCCATCAGAAACAGTTCTGGCCTCCATTGGCCAGCCTGCCCACACTAATCATCACGCTTCACTGCAGCGTTCCATCATGGGAGATGATCGCTTTCGAAACCGTGAGCATGTCGGTGCCATCCCGGTCACTCTGGACCTCGATACCGGTGCTCGTTGTTTTTGTCTCTCTCAACTCCTGCGAAACCACCTTATCCACCTGCTCCATGTTGGTGAACTCTTGGCACCGAGACGATGGACGGTCTGATGATTCGCCAACCTGCATGGCCGGCAATGGCTTGCTCAACTATATGAAGAACCTTCGTGTCCCCCTCTTCATCTCACTTTGTTGAACTCAATCAGTCGTGCCTCATCCTCTCATCTCTTCTTCCTCTTTTACCTCTCCCTAGATCACCGACATCATCTTCCACCACCTCGGTCACTCATACACTTGAACGTGTCTAAGAGAGCCAACAAACGCAGACAGACATCCACCATGTCGACGTCGACTGCGCAGCCCGCTGACCCCATCGCCAAGGGCGTGCTGGCCACGGCCAAGCAGTCCTTGAAGGACCTCTTCATCTGGAGGCAGCGTACCGTCGTTGTTAGCCCGACTGGCGAGACGCACACAGAATGGCAAGATCCCGACCCAATCAAGAACCCCATCAGCCTTATGGCTCAGCTCAGCCCTCGCGACTGGCTCTTCTTCCTCTGCGGTTTCTGCGCCTGGACCGCCGATGCCTTCGACTTCCACGCCTTGTCTATCCAGACCACCAAGCTGGCCAAGTACTACGACCGCTCAAAGACAGATATCACCACTGCCATCACCTTGACTCTGCTTCTCCGTTCCGTCGGCGCCGCCTTCTTCGGTCTGGCTGGTGACAAGTATGGTCGCAAGTGGCCCATGGTTCTCAACATGATCATCCTCGGTCTTTTGCAGATTGCCACCATCTACAGCAAGACTTTCCAGCAATTCTTGGCTGTGCGCAGTTTGTTTGGTCTCTTCATGGGAGGTGTCTACGGTAACGCCATTGCCATGGCTCTTGAGCACTGCCCGTATGTCCATCAATCTTCTGCATTCCGTCGACAAATCGCTAACAGATTCTCAGCTCCAACGCTCGTGGTTTAATGTCCGGTATCTTGCAACAGGGCTACTCATTCGGTTACGTCCTCGCCGCTTGCGCCAACCTTGGTGTCGGCGGTGGCACCGAAACCTGGAAGACGGTCTTCTGGATCGCTGCCGGTATCTCCATTGCCGTCGGTCTCGTCCGTATTGCTTTCCCCGAGTCCCAGCAGTTCCTTGAGGCCAAGGCCCACGGAAAGAAGTCGGCCTCACCCGGCGCCTTCTGGCGCGAGACCAAGAAGATGCTGGCCCAGGAGTGGAAGATGTGTGTCTACTGCATCATCCTCATGACCTGGTTCAACTACTACTCCCACACCTCGCAAGACTCGTACACCACCTTCATGATTGCCCAGAAGGAGATGGACAACGCTGGTGCTTCCCGTGCCTCCATTCTCATGAAGGCTGGCGCTTGCGTTGGTGGCACCATCATCGGCTACCTGTCCCAGTTTGTCGGTCGTCGCCGCGCCATCATCGTGTCTGCTCTCATCTCTGCCTGCCTCATCCCCGCCTGGATTCTTCCTCAGGGCGAGCGCAGCTTGAGTGCCAGCGGTTTCTTCATGCAGTTCTTCGTCCAGGGTGCCTGGGGTGTCATTCCCATCCACCTCAACGAGCTGTCGCCCCCGGCCTTCCGCTCCTCTTTCCCCGGTATCACCTACCAGCTCGGTAACATGATCTCGTCCCCTTCTGCGCAGATTGTCAACGCCATCTCCGAGAAGACCTTTGTCAGAGCCCCCTCAGGCCACAGCGTCGAGGCCTATGGACCTGTCATGGGTATCGCCACGGCCATCATCGCCATGGGCATTGTCGTCACCACCATGTTCGGACCCGAGCGTCGCGGCCGCAGCTTTGAGCACGCCGTCGCCGGTGTGCAAGGCGAGGCCGTCGAGACCAAGGAGATTGACGACCACGACGAGGAGAAGGGCAGCATCAGGGCCTCCAACGTCGAGGACACCCGCAAGGAGTAAGATCGGTCGCTGCCGGGCTCAGCGATAGACGTACAACACTTTTGAGATATAACTGGAATGTTTTGGAATTATGGTACACAGGTACAGGGAGGAGGCCGGGCATAGGCCTCCAATGGCTGTGATGCCATATACAATACCCCATGGGAAGCGCCACGGCGCAAATGAATGAATATAAAGATTGATACCATTTTCAAAAGTCCTCCTGTCTTACCGCACCCGCCCGTGACGATCAGCACATGTGTGCGACATAGTGTTTCACATCACGACACTTTTTGCTCGTGTGGACAAGCTTTTCGCCAAGCCGCTGGCTAAGTATCGGCGCTGCTGGGCGTAGAAGCTTGCGTGTGCTTGTCTCGGTGTGTATTTCTTTTGCATTTCATGGGAAATTAGTCATCGGTGGTGCTAGGCCCGAAAGCAGCCTAACCGGTCCAGACCAATTCTCGACTGACGGGACCCGCTCTGTCCCGCTCCATCAGTAACCGGCGGTCGGCAAACGGGCAAATGGGCAAATGGAGAGATTGAGCTGTTCTTCCAAATTTGAGTAAGATGAATGAGAATTTGATTGGGAGTAAGCAAGCAGATGGCGATAAAAATTCGCAGGACTTTGCAGTAAACCACACATCACGCAGCTCCTACAACTAAAGCCCAGATCTATCCCCAATCTCACAATCTCTTAACGGTTCCCTTTCCCCGACATCCCCAGACTCCACGTTTTCTTCGATGCAGGGTTTTCAGGGCTTTCTCCATCTGGGGGTGCAGCTTGGGACTCTGGAGACGTCCAGTCTGTGCGGTGAGACATTTGCGATCAGCGATGCCCCGATGTTGGAAGCACGCTCGTACGATGTGCTGTGGGCGTCGCGACGGGGCCGGCTCACGGGGGTCACCGTTCCAAGAGTTCATTGGGGCACCGTTTAACTGGCGTCCGTTGTGGGGTGAGTGTCCCACACGGTCCAGATTTCTCCAAGAGTTTTTTCAATGGGGGCCGCTCCACTCATGTCGTTTCCCCTCATTTACCATGGACATGGAGTGCTCCGTGAGCGCAGCGATGTTCTGTTCGGACTCGCTCCAGTTTAGGCGCTGAGATTTCACATGGTTCCAGACCCAGCTACTCCGTATACTAAGTCAAAATCGTCAAAATCAGGGTTAAGATAGAGGGGGGGGGGGCCTAGTGGATCTGGAGGGGGAAGGACGCGTGCGTGGTGCGCGGAGAGAACACCGGTCCCTTCTTTGAGCTGAGCCCAAGGATGTGTGGGCGTGGGGTAAAGGGGAATATTTCCAGTTAGTGAAGTATTATTTGAGAAAGATTCTGATTTGACTCCATCGCGAACCCGAGGACTTGGCAACCTTTCCACTTTTTTCTTTTTCTTCCCTTTCCCTCTTTCCGGGATTTCAATTCCTCTCTTTTGTGAGGTATCCTCCTCGGATGTTGTCCGTCCCGCCTAGGCCCTAATGTCGCAACCCGACCCTCGTTTATGTATGACTGCGGCGCAGGAAGGCCAGTCACTTTTTTCGGGATTTATTTACTTACATTGGCTTGAGTCCGAAATCTTTCCCATGGGCCGGGGTCCTCGGCTGCGCTACGCCGCTGGATGGATGGCCGGTTTTGGGATGCGCTTGAGATCCGCGGGATGAGGGAGCCGGCGGTGGCATGGTGGTCTGATTCCGAGTTCCGGACGAGCGGGACGGGAGGATTTGGTTTGAGCTCTCCGGTTACACAGATGGAAATTCGTTGGTCGAAGAGTAAAATACATGTTTTGACAATATTTGAAATTGTTGAAAGCTAAAATTCGTTACATTATTCAATATGCAATTTACACGATCCTGTCAAGCTCCTCCATCATGGAAGAGAGTACGTAATGTCTACCATTGCTTAACCTTGTTGATATAGGTACCTTACATAGAGGGATCATGTCATGAGTAAAGGCACGCAGCAATAGGCATATGAAGTGGGTTACAAGTGGCTTCAATCAACCCATATAGAACGAAGAAAAGACAGCAGTTATACTGAATGAATGTGAGATCCACGTAACATAGCACGTGATGCAGTGGCTATTATATACTGGTACCATTCCTGTTTCGTGACAGATCATCATAGATATGTGTCGTCCAAAGAATACTGTTGTTTGTTGGCAGCAACCTACGATGACTCTAGGAGAATATAGCCAGTCTGACCAAGACCTACTACAAACTGTACCATCTCGAGCCCGGCTTGTATAAAGTTCCCGCATGTCAAGGCTTCAACCGCATCGGCTGCAGCTGGTGTGTCTCCCAAGTTGATCACTATTAGAGTAACTCGTTCGCGCAACATAGGAAGCTAAGTTGGAAAGCTCGCCCACGAAGGCCACTACCTTATCCACACTCGATTCAGCGCCGAAGAGCTCGCTGACATGCTCAGGCGTGATGAGAGCCGATGGAATGACGAGGATGCTATCGATCTTGGCCCCCATAGAACGAGAGTCTTCGACAAGCAGGCAGTGGCCGGTCGGTATGAGGCGACCCTGCGCGATATCATTGAAGACCACAATGTTACCCAACGTGATGATGGTGATCGATTTCGACCAGAAGTCCCAGAACTCGCTTTTGACGGGGTCTTTGGAAGCAAAAGAATCGGCCATGTACAAGGCGCCGGCACTAAGGACCGCCACTCCCGTCATAAAGTTGCTGAATTCGTTGTCTGATGGGAGTTTGGCCTCGACGGGGCTGACCCATCCCGCTATAAAGCTCATGATGCCGGCGGTGAAATGGCCCAAAGAGTACATCACGTCATCGCCCCAAGTCGCTGGCTTGGTGGATCCAGGGGTCGTTGGCTCCGTGCTGGCTGCGCTTATAGAGTCGGAGGAGGAGATCAAAGTCACGAAGGCCTTGCTTTTGTGCGCGCTGGCTTGTCGCTGACGGGCTGTGTGTGATTCTGAAGAAGTGAAGGCGGCTGTCGTCATGATGCAAGTATCCACTGCCATAGGCTCAATAGCAAGCGACGTTGATGTATTCTGAGCCATACGGGCCTGCAAAGTCCGTGATATACCGGTGGCAGCACCTGCTTGGAGTGCGACATCATCGACGGTGAAGGGAGTCTTCTGGGTACCCAGCTTGTAGATCACCGTGAAGGACATGGCGGGGATCCAGCATACTAGATCAAGGTAGGATCTGTCCGGTATGCCGGTTTCTTTGAGAAGATCTGAGATAACGGGGATGTGGATCTTGACATCTAAGAGGGCAAAAGCATCCCCGGCAAGATCGATCAAGACATTGAGCAAGGTATCGACCACCACCTTGACGCTGGAAAGCACACCCCATTGCGACGATTCCGAGCAGATCTTTCAGAATATCTTCTCTTGCACCGATTCGGCTTGGATGTTCACTCGTCCCGACTAGCGAGTTCAGCTGTAGTAGCCACAAACTTAACCAAAGTTCATAGCTCGCCACCAATGACTCCCCTGCAACTCTAAAGTCGCATATGCCATTCAAAACCCGAAACATCCATTGCACAGAAACCGATCTCTCTCAAGACTGAGCAGTTGGCATGTCGTCGCTTTTGCCTCAACACCCCTTTGGATTCTTCAAATAGCAATGACCCCATAATTTGAGACTATTGTGATCGTCTGCTGTCAATGAGCTGCACATCGCAACAAGAGCCATGGTAGCAGGTATTCCAGTGCGAGTCTTTGCTTTCCCTCAATAAACAGGCCGGAATATGAAGGTCACATTGGGGATCGCGATGCATGTCACTTCACATGAGAGGACGCTCATTTTGCCACAACAGATTCCCATAGCGGGTTTCCCCACGCCCCAAACGCACTTTAGACACTTTGAGGCGTGCGACGGTCTGAAGCTAGCCGATAAAGCTTTAGGGATACGTTAATTTTATCGTGGAGCTGAAGCAACTGCCAAGACCGACTATTGATTAAGGGAGCCAAGTCTCGTAAGTGGCAGAGATTCGAGACAGCGCAGTCTTTACTCATGTCCCGAGTTGCACACCCCCGCTGCAGATGACGTGCGTTGAGGTCTTCTGGGCCGCTGCTACATATCCGTAGTGTACCTTAGTCAACTTGCCATCATTGTCTGAGCTGAGGATTCCTGAGACAGAAGGGAATCTTGACGACGCATGCATGTCGTTGAGAGGAGGCTAGAGAAACAGGTCGCCCGCATTCCCAAACATGAAATAGAAATTCCATTCCCATACAAACCAAAAACTCGGAAAACATATTTATCGTACGGAACCGACCGGAAAGCCAATACATGGCCTTATGATGGTGGTTGCTCCAGACGTAGACGGGTAGCCTGCATATCTACAACGGGTAGAGGGTGGCTTTGGCTTTCGTCTTGGGAGCCCTTTCGCGCTGTTGGTCAACAAGCGCGATCTGAAAAGCCCTCAAAAGAACGTTCGAACATCAAGAAGCTCCCAATTTCTCATATCATCTACCAGAACGAGACAAGATTTCTGCTAATGACTGAGAATAAGCTACTGACAACGAAAAGAAGGAAACAGGTTTTGTCGGCTTCAGCGCCCCTTCTAAACATCCAGATATCCTCACACTCGCGGCATATGTACAAACGCCATGCTCACCTGGCTTGATTCATAATCATCTTTTAAGACACCTCTTTGGAGGAGATGTCTCATTATGGAATGTAATCCAGACATTGGCAGAGGGTCCAGTAGAATGGCTTGATCTGCCAAAGTCCGCATCATATAGTTGTGGCCTTGAAAACGCCGCATCTTATATCAGCATTGGAGTAGACTGGACTATCTCATCGACCGCTGCAGAGCGACAGTACATTCGAGTGCAGGGCAGTAGCAAACCAGGCGTTGTTTCGATTTGCTTCTATTATGTCCGTAATATAAAAGATTTATATTTAGTGAGATTTGATAAAAAGCTAGAGATCATTGCATTGTCGCCTTGTAATACTCGATAGGATGGAATTTACATGTACCGTGACTGAGAAAATATCCAACATATTATGGAGAAGAAACGCAAATAACTTCGGTTGGCTTACGTGCGATCCTGATACGACTTGCGGTTGAGTCGTAGTTATGTAATGGGTAATCCAGCCTCGGTAATGCTCGACCTGTTGGAGTCTGTCTTCATGAAATTAGAGGGGGCTTATATCACAAGAAACGGCCCACTGAATTATGCGCAGCAATCACTACACTAGATGAGAAATTGCCAACTTCGATTGCAAAGCATGAGCCAAGGGATTGTCAATGAGTTCACGTGTCAAGTGTCATTTAATGAGAACTCCGTTAAGAGAAAATCCAAATTCATTCAATTGTCTATTTGTCTACCTTGGAGTTGATTGCATGTTCCCACCCTGCAAAAATTTCCGTGAGTCAGTGTTCTTAAGACTGCTTCCAGTTTTGCCGATACTCAAGTAGTTCAACCATTCCACCGTAGTTCATCCTCCGCGCATATTCGAGAGCACTTTCACCTGATTCATATTTTGCTTCAATATCCGCACCAAAATCCAGGAGAAGCTCCACAACATCTCTGTTTCCTCTGCTAACAGACCACAATAGCGGTGTTTGAGACAGATAGAGAGCTTCAATGTCGGCCTTGTTCTTGAGAAGCAGTTGAATGACTGGCTTGTAGCCATAGGTTAAAGCTTGTATGATGGGTGGCGAATGTCCGTTAGTTCGCGCCTCGATATCGGCTCCATACCGAAGAAGAATTTCCACGCACTCCCGACAACCCTCCCGCGATGCCACTTGCAGCGGCCCCATCCGGCCGCTTTCCACTTGTTCTATTGGACCTCCGGCTTCGAGTAGTTGAATGAGTAAATCGTGTCGTCCCGTCATTATCTTATGTCGTATCCATTCCTGGGCATACTTTTCCATCTTCCCAGAAGCGGGGGTGCGAGAATGCAGCAATAGAAAGTGGTCAACATCAAGTCGGTTCCTATGAAGATAGTCTAATGGTGTCTGGGTGCTGGGGTCTGTGGTCTCTGGATCAGCGCCCTTATCGATCAAAATGCGAGAGATCTTTATGTATCCCTTGATGACCGACATGAACAGGGCTGTTTCGCCTCCTCCATCTTTGGCCTCCAAGTTTGCCCCAGCTTCAACCAGCAGAGTGACTATACTCAGCTTTCCCTCGCAAGTAGCCAGTATCAAAGGGGTCCTGTTATTGTCGCCTCGAGCCTCTAAACTAGCTCTGGCCTTTAGGAGGAACTTCACAACATCGAAATGCCCATTGTGAGCAGCGAAGCAAAGAGCCGGGCCGAGATCGTCGTTCCCTGCGTCAAGATACTTTTGCTGCTCGACCAATATGGGCACAAGCTTGGAGTGACCGTTGATGGCGGCCATAACAAGAGGTGTGTATATGAATTTGCTCACAGGACGCTGCACTTCCTGTAGAAGGACAGGTAAGGCATATTCGATTCCGAACCAGGCAGATATGTGAATAGGAGTTATGTCCATAACATATTCTCCCGGAACTGCCTTCTTAATCCCCCTGTATATACGAAAACGGTGGTCGAGAAGCAGTCCCTGGACACATCCGTAAGATACGGACGTATTTGAAAGAAATTCCATGACAGAAGGTCTTGAGAACGAAGAACCGCGACGTGCGTGATTGCCCCAGTTTTTCGCAGCGTAGGAGTACAGGGGACATTTTCTCATATGACGGATGAATTCAGTCCATGAGCCTGAAGTGAAAGGTTTCGAAATCAAATACGTCGTCAGAGTGTCTGTGATTTCGTCTTGTGCGTCCGGGAAACACGATCCCATATACGTTTCCAGGTACGCTCGGGTCGTTAGATTGACAAGTGATAAAAATGTCTCATCTGGTTCCCATTGGACTAATCCAACACAGGAAAAAATCAACTCGTTAACGCGCTCGCCGATTTGATGCTCAGAAGGTTGTTTGCCGTGTCTCCAGTCTTGGAATACGGCGTGGTATAGTTGAACGGCGGTCAATTTTTCTTCGGCAAAGGTAATCCATAGCAATAACCGCTTTGCTAATCTGGCTACTCCGTCCCCTTGGTCTTGGATGCGCTTCATAACACCTTCAAAGAAAAGGTGTAACTTCCGTGGAAGGCATCTGGGCGACTGAACGGGTGCTTGAAACACCTCTAGAGATGATTGCGTTTGCAAAGAGACATCAGGCAACAAAGCCGCAGCAACGCTGAACCTGTACTTCTGTCAGTCATATGGGACACCGGGACTTGGTGCAGATGCTCCTTACATGCCATCGCCATTGCGATCCAGCCAATCTCCAATTTGGTGGGCGATCCTGTCCCTCTCGACTGGTGACTCCACGAAAGATAGATGACTCTCTGCGTAAGTGACCAAGTCATGAATTGGCGGATGGATTTTCAACAAGCCATTGGAATCTATAAATCTCGAAGCTGGCGCGGAAAATCTGGATGTCGCGAAGATGTTGCATCCATGCTCTTTTTGCAATTCCAGCAACGCATCGAACAGCCTCTCTTGATGTCTCATATCAGGGCTGAATTCGTCGAAAGCGTCGATGAGTACATAGAAACGCGAGTAAAAAGGTCTGAGGCTGAGCAAGGATCGGCTCACATCGTCAATAGACAGTGGAGACCCGTTTCGCTTCATGCTCTTCAGCAAACACTCCACGTAAAACGGGATTCCTGGAAGACCTCGAACTAGTTGCTCCAGAACGCTGACAAAAATGTCAATGACGTCTAGTCCGTCCTCGTAGGAACAATATATGTAAGCAATGCCTATTTTCTTCTGCAGGGTGCACGTGATCTGGCACATCGTTTCGACGATCGCAGACATGAGTATCGTTTTTCCCGCTCCAGGAGTGCCGGTGCAAAATAATGTGTCTTTAGGAGTATTCAGCCAGTGTCGGAATCTAGACGAAGACAGGAAGGATTCCAGTGTCCCAGGGTGCCATTTTGCCACGAGATTTCGCTGCACCGCAGCGTAATCAACTAGCCTCAGTTGACCCAGCAGGCCCGGAAAATCCGGCAAAGATTCGTCAATATTGGCGTTTGACCTGAGTTGTGAGCAGAACCATCTGAGATTATGTTCGGCAAGGTAGTACTCGTCTGGAATCAAAGAATGGCTGTTCCGTGGAGAATCGGGGAATAAGATGAGCCAAGGGTCGAAATGCTTGTTATCATTGTCATCTTCCTCCAGGCCCTC